TTTAGCACTAAGCGTACATGCTGTTTGTGCTCTAAAAGGCTATTACTATAAATTAGAATATTATTAATATACGCAGTGTAGAACACGTCTAGGTAGGGTTAGAGTAAGTTGTTTACAAAATGTTAAAAAGTACTAGGCGTGTTAGCTAAGCTAAAGGGCATTACTAGGTACTTAAATAGTCTATATTAGGTTTAAAACACTGTTAGCTACTTATTACCCTTTGCTATTCTTAGCTTATTAAAGGCAGTAATAATATTTAACTTTATAAAATACTTTACTTTACTTAGTTAGCTTAGAGTTTCTTATAAAAAAAAAATTAAGTATTAGTTTTTAATAGTAACAGCATTTAGTCCTTAGTAGTTAATATAGAATTAAAGCCTACTCCTAGGTTTTTTTATAAATAGTATAAGTAACACTACTAGTAAAGAGCTAGCTTAAATAAACTCTTTTTTTAGGTTCTTATTAAAGTATTTTTAAAGCACTTTTAATTTATTTAGCAACATCTTATACAGTAGCCTATAACTAGGTTATTTACTAGGCTTAAAAGTTATCTAGTAATTATATAAATGTTATATTAAAAGCTTATTAGACTTATCTTAAAAGAAGATATATAATAAGTTATAGTAGTCTAAAAAGACTATTATTTTTAAGTTAGTGTGTTTTTAAAAAGCTAAAGCTTAGTTTATATTAGAAATTATAACTACATAGATTTTATAATCTAGTTATTAAGCTAGAGTTATAAATAGGGCAGGTTCTATGTAGTAGATGTCTATTTACTGTTTAAGTCCTAGTTTGTGTTTAAATTAGGTAAGTAAAAGTTTCTTAAAAGCTTTTATTTCTTTAAGTTTAAGTAGTTATTAAATTATTTTATATAGCCTATTTTAGTAAAAGGCTTAGCTTGTTAGCCTTACTTAGGTAGTTCTTTTTTAAGTTATTAAAAAGTAGGTCTAAAAACCTTCTATATTAAGTGCTATTTAAGTATTATTTAGGTGTAAGCATAAGCATATGTTTTAGCATTAAAAAAAGTTAAAGTTTAGAACTTACTCTTAGTAATTAAAAGTAACCTTATGCTAATATAGCTATAGTTGTCCTAGGATTAGGTTATAACATTTTATATTTATTACATAGAGTTTAATCTGCTCCTTATAGTGTTAGTAAGTAATTATAATAGTTATAGTATAAAAGATAGAACTTTTTTTAAGTTATTTTCTATTAAATCTAGTTAAGTAAATTATTTAGGTAAGTAGTGTTAATTAAAGATTTAGTTTACACACTAGTTTTTTATTAATGTAACTTATGCTATTTACTTCTAAGTTAATAAGAGCTTATATTAAGGCTAATATAGTTTTTTATTATAAATATATAAGAATATTAACTTAGTACTTTTAGTTATTAGTAGGGGACTTAGCCTATAAGTTAGTAAAGATCTAGTGTTAAATTAGTCCTAAAGGGCAACTTAGCCTTAAAACAAGCCTTTTTGCAGGCTCTTACTGCTATAGCTGCAGCTACGTTAAGAGTAGTAAAAGAGATTAAGGCTTAAATATAAGTTAAAGCCCTTATAAAAATAAGATTAAAATAGTAAAGATCTTTAATAAGTACTAGTAGTGCTACTTATGTAGACTTAAAAAAGAGGAATAAAGTAGTTTTAAAAAATATAACTATACTTACTGCACTTAAAGTATTAACTTTTTTTTTTATAATCTTTACACTTTCTAGAACTAACTAAAGCATAATTTAAATTAATTTTTATTACATTAAAGTCCTTATTTACAACTGCGCTAGTTTAGAGGTGTATTAGGGCTTATATAAGAAGAAACCTTATGTTATTATTATAGGTAGCAATTAGGTTTACATACGCATTAAAGTTGTTTAGAAGGGGTTCTCCTACTATAGCGCGTTGCAGTTTAGTTAAGAGAGAGTTATATAAAGCTGTAATTAGACCTATCTTATTTAGGCCTATATTAGATGCAAGTTAGCAGAACTTAGTAAAGTGTAAAGTAAAGCTTTTTTTTTTTTATTATAAAGTGTTTAGGTAACTTAGGGCTGTTAACTTTTTATTTAGGTCTTTATAAGTTGCTTATAAGAATACTATAAATTAATTTAAGTTAATAATATCTTTATTTATTAGTAAGTTAATTAAGGCTGTTATATTATAGTTAAGTTAAAAGTAGGCATATAGTAACTAGAAGTGTTTAAAAAAGAATTAGTCTATATTTTCTTTAAGTTTATATTAGAGCTTATGTAAAAAAAAAGGTAGGTCTTTCTATTTTCTATTAAACAGTAGAGGATTAGGGAGTTAGTTAGATTTTATTACTAAGTTAAAAAGGTTACAAGTTATAAATAGTGTTAAGTAAAAAAGAGTTAAGCTATTTTTAAACTTCTAAGTAAGCTTTAAAGCTAGTAAGTTCTTAGTTTTTACTACTATAACAAGAGTTAAGGTAAAAACAAACTATTTAATAACATAAAGCTGTTTTTTAAAGTCCTTTTAAAGAGCTTTAAAGCTTATAATATAGTAGCTTTTTTATAAAGTAAGCACTTTTTAGAAAGCTTTTTAGCTTGCTTTAATAGCTTAGAGTTATGTAAGTACTAAGCTTATTAGATTAAATTTAGAGGCTATTCTTAGCTAAAGTTTTAACATAACATAATATTATAATTATGCATAAGTAAGGTTATAGAGCTTTACAGAGGTCTAGTTTAATTACTACATAAGGTATTATAGTAAGTACAAGACATTATGTAAGAAATAAAAAAGTTTAAAAGAAAATTAGTAATTAAATACTTAGCTTAAAAGTCTAAGCACTTTAGGTATAAATTAAGCCTATTTTAGGTTTAGTTAGTGTTAAGGCAGTTTATGCTTAAGTTTATGTCTGTGTTGTGTTGTGTTTATGTTAGACGTGCACTAATAATACTCTAGTACGCGTCTAATACGGTTATGTCTGGGATCCGGGGAGGATACCGTGACATTAAGTGTTCTTAGCATAGCTAAGTTAAATTATAGTTACTTTCTTAGTGTAGTTAGCATAAGTGTGCCTTTTAGCGCTTAATAAGCTTTATCTAAGAGAAATAATTAATTACACACTAGTGTAGTAGCAGCCTTAAGTCTTTTAACTTTATCTTTATAATTAGCTAGGTGTTTAAAAGTTTTATTTAGTAGGCTTTAAAGCTTTTATAGCTTTTTACTAACTTTTACTTACTTAGCTTCTGCTATGTTAACTGCTTTAGTAAAAGTATTAGTGTAGTCTTAATAAGCTTACACTTTTAATAACTACTATAGTAGCTTATTTACTACAACTATGTAATCTGCAGCTATAAGGTTTAGTAGGTCTAGGCAGAGGCTAATTAAATTATAATTAGTAGTACTCTAAGTAATAGCTTTTATTTAGAATAATAGTGCTTTTCTAGCTTACTAAGCGCGCGCGCGTGTAGTCTTAATAGTGTAGTCCTTTTTAAACACATTATTAGCGTAGAACTAGGCCTAGCATAGCAGCGTTCTTAGTTTAGGTGTATAGGCGTTGCTAGTAGGCTAGGCAGTAGAATTAACGCGCATCTTAATTCTTAACAGCTTCCCTATCTTAGTGCTCTTAGCTCCTTCCCTCTACTCTAGGGTCTAGCAGTCCGCAGAGGTATAGTGTAGTGTGAGCCCTGGGTCTGGTGACGGTGGGGCTGATAGTTAATTAGTGGTGGGTTTGTACGTGGGTTTGTACAGAGCCTGCAGCTCTCTTCGCGTTGTTGCAGTGGTAGTTAGTACAGTAGGCCCCCCCCTACAGTTAATTTAAACTAGAGCAGCAGCGCTCCTAGCTTAAAGCTTCTTAATAAGGTGCAATAATTTAATTATTGCTTAGTGTTGCTTTTATAGTTACCTAGCCTAACTAGGGCTTTAAGGCAGATAGCTATTGTTAATAAACTAAGGCTTAGCTTAGTTATACTAGCAGATCTGTCTAAGTAAGAGTTAGTTAGTAGATTAAGCTCTTAGAGCTAACTGCACAGTAGACCTAGATATTATATTACTGTTCTTTAGCTAAATAAGATAATTTTAGTGTAATATAATAATAAGCACTATCTTTACTACTGTATAAAGCTAGAGAAGTAAGGTAGAGTAGGTTAGCTCTATTTTAGCTACACTAAGATAGAGAGAAGAAAGGGAGCTTTAAGGGCAGCTCTGCAGAAGAAGTGCTTGCAGCGCTAAGGCGCTAGCAAGGACGCTAGCGCTAAGCAAACTAATAGCGTTGCGCCAGTCGCACCCCCTATATCCTGATTGGCTGCACGGGCAGCTTGTCATGTGACGCGCGACAGAGCTCTCTGCGTAGGACCGTCACATACTAGAGGTGCTAAGGGGAGCAGGAGGAGTTTATAGGAGTCTGCTAAGGCGAGCTCTTATAAGCTCCCTTAAGCTCCCTAGACTTGTGGCCTGTCCTCCCTATTAGACAACGCATTCCTCTATTACCGCAGGCAGCTGTGCTGCTTCCGTGTCCTCCGGTTGGTTCATAAGCGAGCCCTGTCCCAATCCAGCTAGATTGTGGAGCACTGCCGGTGGAGTTACGCTGGTCCAACCGTAGATCGTAACAAAACAGTGGGGCACAGAGGGTTAGCAGCTTACAGTCTAATTGTGGGTTGTAATAGTAACCTAGGAATATTATTAACACCTATAGACCTTGTATAAAAGGATATTAGAAAACTACTAAGCTAGCTAAGAGAAGAGGTGCAACTAAATACTTAGAGGAATAGAGGTACAGCAGGGGGCAGGGCAAGGTTAGGGCTAGGTTAGAGTTCGGGCTAATACAAGAACCTTTTAAAGATTCTAAGCAACCTAAGATAGAACAATTCATGCGAATTGTTACACTTAGTATGTTTATAAAGTGTTATTTAAAGCTGAAAGTAAAGTTTAAGTATAACAATACCTATAAAAAAGCTTTTTATAAAAATTCTAAAGTAACGATTCGTAGAATCGTTACAGCAGGCAAGACAATAGATTTAAATGCGGTAGGAATCTACTAAGAGGCATATAGAAGTGCGTGCATTCTATTAACACCTATAGGCTTTGTACAAAGGATATTAGAAAACTACTAAGCTAGCTAAGGGGAGAGGTGCGACTAAATACTTAGGGGAATAGGGGTAACTGTGGGGGACAGAGTCGAGCCATGGTCGGGGCTGATACGGGGACCCATCGGATAGGTTCCGAGCGACCCGAGATGGAACGATTCATGAGAATCGTTACATAACCTTATGCCCTGCGGATTGTTTGACCTAGCGTCTTATACTGCTGTCGAAGGCAAACTACAATTAGGCTACACCTCAGCAACCCACACATGTCAAGTACGGACTGTACACCTGGCACGAGACGTGTCCTCTTTAACTGTCCACCTCTATTGTACCTGGCCCTGAGCACTCTGCGGCAACACCCGGTTCTTGCCAAGTGAAGATTGTAACACTCTTTTGCTTGATTTGGTTGTAGAGGGAGCGATAGCGGTAACAGTAGAGATGGAGGCGACTGTTACTATTGAGGTTGCCGACTTAGGATTCGAAATTGTAGTACAGGTGCGAGCATCCACGTCGCAGGACTCATTTGGACCACAGCAGCAACCCGTGCCATAGCTTGTAACGTAGCAATGATGACCAGTAGGGCAACATAGAAGGGGATCTAAAACTACAAGTTAGATATCTAAGCAGCAATACTAGAAAGTTCTAAAATTACATACTCGGGCAAAGCGAATAGCTAGCATTAGGACAGAAGCGTTGGCGACTCTGGAGAGCTGATCGAACCTCTAGTGTATTTACAAATACGTTGTTAGGTACTGCATTAACAGCTGCCTGAACACCTAGAACTGCTATCATCGCAAAAGAGGCGAGGAGGGTAATATAATAGTAGAGTGTCATGATTGGAATATTCGAATACAAAAGTTGGTGGCTTCTAGCATTGTAAAGGTGGGTTACCTCTAGCTTTCTATCACTCTAGCAATAATAAAACAATTCAAAAAAAATTGCTTTGAAGAAAAAGAATCATTAAATTCAAGAAAAAGAAGCGAAAGCGAAGAGAGAAGCGAGGTGGCTGTAACGATTCTCATGAATCGTTCCATCTCGGGTCGCCCGGAACCTATCCGATGGGTCCCCGTATCGGCTCCGACCCTGACTCGACATGGCCCCGACTCTGCCCTGTCCCCCTGCTGCTACCCCTATTCCTACCATATGCCTCTGAGTGGACTCCTACCGCATTCGGACCCATTGTCTTGCCTGCGCCGTTACAGTGGCGGGATGCGGAAGAGATCTTCTAGGATATTCGTTACGATTTCTATATCGCTATGTAGCGAAGAGCGGAAACTATATAGGAGATTATGCAAGCTATCTGCTTGAATATTCGGGTGATATTTTCTTTTTTGTTAAAGACCTAAATTAGTCTCTAGAACGTTACACAAAGCGAAGCTTGAATATTGGCTACCGCTAGGCGAAATAAGGTACCACCACCTAACCGAGATGATCCTTATCTCGGGTGCTTAGCCGACTGTGCAGAGAAGCTCAGAGCCCCTCAGGACCCTTTCCCCCTGCGACAAGAAGAGGGACCCCTAACGCTAAGCGAAATAAGGTATCAAACCGACCGCGAGTCGCCATGCGCGTTACATTTTAAACAAGAGCCTACACTCTAAAGTTTTGTGTAGAAAAGTAGTAGCTTAGACCCTAAAAACAAAGATTCTCACCTTGCCTCTTGAGAAACCTACTGGCGTGGGTGGTTTTGGGTCAAGTTAGAGTTAAGTTTGGGTAAAAGAAGTTGCGGTTGCGACCGAGCGATCTATTGTGTGCGTTAATCCGTGCAATGTCTTGGCATTCGCGTCGCGTCTTTTCCGCCTCACCAAATCTATGAGAACTTCGACAAAGCGACAATTTGCCCCCATCTATGCCTAAATATCTGTTATTTTAGTCAGATCTTAAAGCTGTACGTACTTCCTAATTAGGAAATAATAAAGCTAAATTTTAGAGGTTTAAAATAGCCCTCAGCAAACAATTTCTAGCTAAAAAGCCATAGCTGGAGCAGCCACGCGTTCGAGTACTGGTGCTACCCGTCAACCGTCAGCCAGAGCCCTCGCTGCAGCAGCCTCTAAAGCACCTTCTAGAGGTCAAAAAGCCAGTAGATTATATAAGCAGACAAGGAGGAAGGTTACCTTTGTAGATAAGCAGCGCGCTGCTGCTTTTGTAACGATCCTCATGAATCGTTCCATCTCGGGTCGCTCGGATCCTATCCGAAGGGTCCCCGTATCGGCCCCGACCATGACTCGACCCAGTCCCCCGCAGTTACCCCTATTCCCGCATGTATTTAGTCGCACCTCGCCCCCGTAGCTAGCTCGGTAGTTTTCTGATATCCTACGTACAAGGCCTATAGGTGTCATTGGTATTCCCAGGTCTCTGAGTCCCCACGCACTCCCATATGCCTCTGAGTGGATTCATACCGCATTCGGACCCATTGTCTTGCCTGCGCCGTTACAGCTTTAACAGCTGCTATTAAGATATGTCACGATTATGCACAAGTAAGGTTATAGAGCTTCGCGGAGGTCTAGTTTAATTACTACGTGAGGTATTATAGTAGGTACAAGACGTTGTGTGAGGAACAGGAAGGTTTAGAAGGAAATTAGTAATTAAATACTTAGCTTAAAAGTCTAAGCGCTTTAGGTATAAATTAAGCCTATTTTAGGTTTAGTTAGTGTTAAGGCAGTTTATACTTAAGTTTATGTCTATATTATGTTATATTTATGTTAGACATGCACTAATAATACTCTAGTACATGTCTAATACAGTTATGTCTAGGATCTAGGGAGGATACTGTAATAGTATCTTCTCTCTTATTAAGAAGAAAATTCTTTACATTAGTAGTTCTAGCATTAAGTTGTCTTTATTAGAGTACAGGTTTAGTTTAGATAGGTATTAGGTGTAAAATTAAGTTACTATAAAGTTCTCTTATAAGGCTTTTATAAGTTTCTATAACAGTTTGTTATATCTAGTTTATTTTATAAAGTATTTATAGATATATTTTTTCTTATTAAACTAAATCTATTTAATGTTTTTTATAATATATTCTAGTTTATTATTTATAATAATAAGTTTAAGTAGTAGGTTTAGCTGTCTAGGTAGATAGTTAGATTTAAAGGCTACTTAGCGCAGCAACAATACATAGAACACAGGGTGTATCTTTATGCTGTTAGGTAGGATTAATTAGTAAGTGTGTAATAAGACTATATAGGCTACTATAAAAAGGCTAAAGTTCTTTTAATTAAGTTTTTTTAATTATTAGTTTATTTAAATATTTTTAGTGTCTAGCTAGACCTTCTTGCTAGCTGTATACACAAAGGTAGAAGTTTAGAATTAGTTTACATACTTTTATTAAAAAGCTTAAGCCTATGTAAGCTTTTTATAAATATATTTAAATATATTTTAGATTTTATTAATAAGTCTATTTATGTTTATTACTTATATAGATTAATAAGTTAGTTAGGGGGTATTTATAAGTAGTTTAAATTTTATTTAAAGGTAGTATCTATAGTTTACTAAAAATAGAGATACTTATGTTAATTTAGATGTTATGTTATTAGCTTTAAACTATGCTATAGCTAACTATTTTACCTAGTTATTTTACTAGTAGTTTATGTACACGTATAGGACTTATTTTATTATAGTGTTTATGTTTTTAGTCTAGCTGTTAATCTCTAGGTAAAAAGCTGTAGATAGATAGAGGATAATTTAGAGCTGTTTATAAAGTTTATTCTAGAAGGCTAAGACAAACTATGTACCTCTATCTAATATAATTATGTTAGGTAGGCTATAGTAAACTTATACATATTAGTAGAATAACTAGGCTATATT